TTGCGCAAATAGTGTTTTGCTATCTTTTCTTTTAACGATACTGAAGAATACAACCTGTTCTTCTTCTTTCTTAATTTCTAAAATACCAGCTACTGAAAAGATACGTATTTATTTTAGTGCATTACTTTCAGATATATACCGGTTTATGCAAGAATATAAACGTATGGAAAATAAAAATCATTATAACGTAACAATGCAGCAACCATATGGCAAAGAACACACGTATCCTGGGAACAATGGTTCTCGTCTTATAAGCTGTGTGATACAAAGGAATAAAATACCATACGGGTTATAAATCACCTTATTAACAAGAATCGATAGAAATGCCGTGTACAATATGAGTCGATTTGGATATTTTGTACAAAACCCCGGCCAAAAAAACAATCCGCCACCGCTCTAAATAAAATAGTAGCAATTATCCAGTTAGGGTTAGGGCTAGGAATACAAATTGAGCTAAAAATTCGAATTTTCGAATCATTCCTAACCGTACCCTAACTCGATACCGATAATTACTAATTTGTTATTTTGAAACGCGGGGTGTTCTCAAATATCATATTTTTGGGACCCCCTGAAGTATGCGCACCAAGATGTCGCACAACCTGAACCATAATCTGGTACACAACCCGAGTTCAGGTTGTGCGTCATCTTGGTGCGCATACTTCAGGAGGTCCCAAAAATGTGATATTTGAGAAAATTAAAATTATTTATGTAAGTTCACTCGAGCCAAGGTCGCTGTCATCAACAAAAGCACATAGTATTGAGTGTGTTAGCTATATAATAGCTATATATATCAGGGTGTCTCAGAGTGTTCGCATACTTATATTTGCATTAGTGGCGGAGGCTTTGTACAAAATATATTTGCCCCCCCCCCCCCCCACCCACCCCCGGTCCAAAAACTTTGACCACCCCTGGTCTATTCCTTAATTTTAGTAAGTTTTACGTTCATTTTCAACAGCGTCCAACCATATAGCACAATATACACAAAGTAACTAGAAAATGAACAACAGCTTTGAATTATAAATGGATTTATATAGGCTTGATAAATTCTCCGGAATGAATATTCTTACCGATCAGCCAAACCAGGGGTGCACAACTCAAATGAGGACTCGTGCCAAATTTTTCTAAATAATCTTGTCGCGTGTCGCACTAATCGTTGGTATTGTAAATTAACTCCCGTAAAACCCACATCAAACAAATTTTAATAATAATACCGAATATCTATTGATTGAAACAATTTAATGTCCTGAACAACAGCTGATTTTGATATTAACGTGATATTTTAATGTATATCATGAATAAATTTTTTTTCACAAAACCGTTCGCGTGCCACGTTTGAGCGTATGGTGTGCCAAATTTGGCACGCGTGCCCCGTGTTGTGCACCCCTGAGCCTAACCAAGATAAAGGGTATTCAAATATCGCTATCTGCTGATACCACTGTCGTAAGGGTAAATAAATATAAATATACATTTATCTAGCACTTATAATACTATGAACCGTCGTCGATGACAACGACCTTGCTTAGGCAATCTTGCATGAATAATTCAAAAACAGATACTCTGACTTTTATTAAGTTTCATGTTTTCTTTGAACAGTGTGTCAAAACTTAATGTATCGCGAAACGCGCATAAACGTAACTGAGTTCAACTTTCAAAATCACACTATACTCAATATGTCCCAAAAACAGGGTTAAATTTTGTTACCCTGACTTTTTCGTGTCTATTTTGACAGTTTTTTAATAAATAGCACACGTACAATAAATATACTTAAGTTTCAAAAGATAATTAGTTCAGTTACCCGATTTTACTTCAGACAGAGGATCAATAGTTGCAATAAAATGAGCAAGAAGGGTATCGACGAAGCATGGTCTAACCCTAAATTTTGGTAAATTCTACGTTCATTTTCAACAGCGTTCACACAGATAGCATAGATAGTAGATACGCAAGGCATCACTAAAAATAGAACAACAGCTTTGAATTATGAATGGACTCATAGGCTTGATAAATTCTCCGGAACGAAGAATCCTAGCGATCTGCGATACCAAGATAGTAGGTATTCAAATATTGCTATCTGCATGTGTATATTTATATCGGTTCCATTACATTTGAACCCACGTACATTTGAACCCATGACAATTGCACCTGTATGCTATTGCACGTATGGAATTTTTTTTGTTACACGGATAGTTAAACCCATACTAACCCTAACCCATGGGTTTTAGCACCCGCATATAGATTGAACCCGTGGATATAAGCATGGGTTCAAATGTACATGGGTTCAAATGTACGGTCACCATTTATATCTGCAGATGTCGCAAAAGTAAATACTCCAAAAAATGTCGCCCGATTTTATGGTAATAACACTTATAAATTCCTTTGTCATTTATCAAACTTACCATTGTTATCAGTATATAATCGGGCAAAATATTTGAGACACCCTGATATATATATATAGCTAGCATTCTTTACACTTAATATCTTCTCTATTTTTGTTGATGACAGCGCGACCTTGCTAGAGCGAATTTTTTGAAGCATTGTTCGCCGTTTGTGGTATAATAGTGACGTCACAAACAATTTTTATCATCATTTAAATTAATTTCTGGAAATATTTCTGAACTGCCGAAAATTCTAAAAATTGTAACGTCCGTCGAAAGAGATGTATTTAATGATTCTGCGTTATCTAATTTCTAAAATTTGGAAACCTCTCACTGCCGTTTTTTTCTAGTTCAATATATTCTGAAACTTAATTAAAACTAGTTTAGCGGGCGCATACCATTCAAAATTGGCGCTTTTACGCGGCCATACATTTTTTGGGGCTCTCGAAGTATGCGAACTAAGATGGCGGACATCGGAATGTAATATTCGTACTAGGTTAGGGTTAGGCCATAATTTTAGGTATAAATACTACGGGAGGCTCTTGGCTAGTCTTCGAACTGATAATAGGACTAAAATAAGGAAAATTGGAAAAAAATCATCGCCTAACCCTAACCTGTTACCCATGTTACGCTCCGATGTCCGCCATCTTGGTTCGCATACTTCGGTAGCACCCATTTTTTTCTTGTCGGCTGCGTTCGGCCCGCGGGCCACAGGCATACTATTCGGGGATTCAAAACACTCACCTAGGGCTGGGCACTTTGTATCAAATGTTCGAACCGAATCGAATAGTAAATCATTCGAATCTATTCAAATGAAAATTTCGAATCGCCGCGATCTTGTTTTTATTTTGCCCGGCAAATTCCTCAAGAATCTATATTTTTGCAATGCAATTCTGACACTTGACTCCCTCCTTTCTAGTTAGTTATTGATGAAATAGGTTTCTCTATTGTGTGTGAACACTTAGCGAACTTTTTGAGTTTAGTAAGTTAGTAAGTTTTGCATCTGGACGATCCATCAAAGTTTTAAACAAAGCACATACAATTACATATCTTCCCAAGTATTCGAGATTCGATTCGAAAAAAATATTCGATCCGATTCTGAAATCTTTAGGCATTCGAAAATGACAGCCCTACACTTGCCATAAAGAACAGCTAAATTCTGAAATACGACGACCGTTTTCTCGAAACTAACAAGTCAGGCTGCAGTAAGGCTGCAACATACGATTACGGGAAGTGAGCTATGCATTTCCGGCCTACCTCATCATAACACTATTAGAAATACGCGGTTTGTTCAATCGCATTTGATGATAACACAAAATAACGTATAGGATAGGTTTTTCTTCTTTATCCCGGGGGAATGGGAAGATGATAAGACAGACGGCTCAGTTTTATGACGAACTACGTCCTCTCGTTCGGTTACTAGTCCATGTCGTATATGTCGGTAAGAAGCGTATGAAAAGATGTCTTACCTACAGACCATGCTCAAAATAGGATAAGTCTTCTTATGATGATTACTTTAAAAACAGGTAAATTTACGTATTTGTTGAAAGAAAATTACACGACCTAACGATTATTCATGAAGGGTGATTCGCTCGTGCATGAGTAAGAAAAAAGTTGCAAAATTTGCATGTAGATTCTTCGAAAAACAAATCATTTAAAATAAAACCTTGGTAGATTTGACCATGTAATGGAACATTACCGGTATTTATAACAGTTTTTAGAAAATTAAAATTACCTGTCTATCTCATTTTAGGCTGTAAATTTGTTTATGAAATTTGTTTTATTTAAAAAAGGTCGTAATCCGTAATCTAGAAAAATAGCCAAGACACAAAAACACCGGCTTGTCACTCCATCACCATATGTTTATCACGTATTTTGAATACCGCATTTGTTCGTTTTGTAGCCCGGGCCCATATTTTTTTCAACCAACTCACTAACCGGCCCTTATTCAAACCAGCCCTTATTCAAGCACGGGCGCTTGTTATTTTCGATCGTTACAATAAATAATATATTGTTATTTCCAGTTCTCAGGTATGATTTAAACGAGAATAACGAAAATTTTGACTTTTTCTACGCACCGAAGGTACAAATCCGCAAAAGAAGAAAAGTTTTGCGACGCACTATCAATATTGAAACGACGCAATTAGGCCCTACCGGACATACTTGTCCTAATACTTGTCCTCAGAAGTAACTAAGCACCGCTAAATATTTTCCACAAAAATTAATTAAACGAATAATAATAATTCGATATGGAGCAAGAAATAACCATCAAATGTTATGTTTTACACAACATTTCATAATAAGATTTCTAATCGAGAATCTTCGCGAAATATTATCGACGACCGTGCATAAATAATATTTTGATTCTATACGTTGTCATATATCCATCCACGTTGTGAAAAAAATAGGCTGATGAACGTACATAAAAGACGAAAAATAATCCGATTTCTATATATTGTTACAGATAACGATAAAATTCCATACATATTACACATATTATAAATCAGTTGAAAAAAAAAAAGAATTGCTGAACGCACATAAAAAGCGAATAACAATTCGATTTTGAAAAAGTGTTACAAGTAACCATAAATTGCCATATATTTTACACAAATTTTGAATAGTACTCACCTAATCCCGCTCTGACTCTGATATCCCGGATAAATAGTTAATCTGTGAAAAGAGAAGACATGTTTTGAATATTTCATTACAAATGGTGTCACAAGGGACATGAGTAAGACGAGTTTCTCTATGAATGGATGCAACGGTAAGTTTTGCCACCTGTTTTACACTTCCAACAAGGCTATAAATAAATTGATGTCTAGAAAGGATTCTAGGAAAACTCGCCGCAGGAAATTTCGCCCCAAGAGCATTTTGCCATAAAACATATATTTGTGATAAAAACAGTTAGGTTTTTGAGGCACCTTTTCATTTAAAAAAGATTTGTTATTTAAGACCATACCCTAATCCCATAAACCTGTTTTTATCACAAATACTTGTTTTACAGCAAAATGCTCTTGCTATTTTTTCAATGCGCCGCAAGATTATTTTGCTGTAAAACAAATATTTGTGATAAAAACAGTTAAGTTTCGAAGTACCTTTTATTTAAAAAAGATTCGGTATTTAAGAGCATACCCTAACCCCATAAACCTGTTTTTATCACAAATACTTGTTTTACAGCAAAATGCTCTTGCGGCGATTTTTTATGCGGTGAATTTCTTATGCTTCGAAATTTCATGAGGCCAATTTTTCGGACACGCCTAGAAAGTTAGTACATGTCAAATCAAAACAAGTTTGTTTTTTCCAATCAGTTAAAAAATCACTCGAGCACAAATTACGAGATGATAATTACACGGTTTCCAGGGTAGGGGAAGTCGCGGGGAACCAAGGCTGGTTATTGAGCAGCGACACCCAAGCTTATAATATCTGATTTAAAAAGTTGGAATTTTAGAGTTTTGAAAGTTGTGAGTACCGTACGTATTATCCGACTAACATCGTTTACTAGAGATAGATACTAGTAGAGATTATGTGTGGAACTCGCCATTCAAATGGTAAATGAGACCATATATCCAGTGGTGGGATTCAAATTTTTTGTCAGCCGGTTCCATCATACAAATGTCATACTTTCAGGCGATTCTGTTACAAAAAGTCATGTAATGCTAACCGGTTCGCTGATCTCATAAAATTCCGTGAGACGGTTCTATAGAACCGGTGCGAATCCCACTACTGCACATATCCATCCTTATTCTTAGAATACGGTTACGTGCTGCCTATGTGGAATCCCGATAGCCCCCTGCCGGAATAGGAGATTCGAGTGTTTTATTTTACCAAAAATCGTCTTATAATGGCACGAGCCACGGGGAGAGAGGAGTTAATGGTCGGACTCCCATCCTCTTGAAATGTAAAAAAAAGGATTTTTTCAAAAAACATAATTTTCAAAACGGTCTTGATTTTGAAAAATTCTGAAAATTGTTCTCCCATTAACAAGGCAATGAATATGATGGGAGATATATCTGAGTTCGGAATATTTCTATTATCTATTCGTATAAACTTTCCATGCTTAGGTATATAAATATTACAACTGAGGCGGAATATGTGTAGAAGGCCTCACCCAGTGATTTCCCTACATCCCCCCATTTCCTAAAATTGTAGCCATCACAAATCCCTCCCCCCCCCCATAATTTTCAGGTGTGACATCATACTTAAATTATTAACGTAAATAAAATTGTATTTGAATATCCAGAAAGTGACTCATAAGCCGGTGAAGATGATCAGTCGAATACATAACACATTTTTATAAGTTACAAATAGTTGCATTACCAGCGCTGAGCAAAACAAATAATCCACCACCGGCTAAATTTACCCCCCCCCCCTCTTAAAATCAAAAGCTGAGGAACATATCGGTCTTACCCCACTTATTGCAAAAATTCTAAAACTGCGCAATTCAAGAGTCCTGCTGCACACTAACACAAATGTATTTCTGCAACGTTCCGTCCGACCAAAATCAGATTTCCCCAGGCAAGCGGTTACAACAGTGACAAGCAAAGAACAATCATGCGGTTCCGTTACAGAAATACATTTGTGTTATAGTGTGCAGCAGGACTCTTGAATTGTATGGTATGGTCTTCCTTTTTCCTACTACCACATCCTTGCATTATACGCATTCGGTCCCACTAGCACTAGCACAAAGGCATTGACGAATGATTGGGGGAAGTTAGTCTCGTGTAATCTCTACTGATGGCAATCTTAAAAATATTGGATTTAAAACATCTCACCACGGAAAAAATGATTCCTCAAAATTTCGTATAAAAAAAATATTTTTCCAATCTTTTACATAACGTAAAAACGATTTTTTTTTGTCATTATAGAAATAAAAGGGTCTCCCGAAGTGTGTGTATCAGGTTGGGGTTAGGGCATAATTTTTATTCCAATTTCCCCTCTTTTATTTCCACTACGAGTTCGGGGACTGTCTGTGTTAGCCAAGTGAATATATCCCCTGCCCAAAGGTTTCACTCACTTTACACAACTTGATGTGAAGTATGCAAAAAAAATTAGTTACCTCGATACACACACTTCTGGATCGCCGAAAAAAAAAACTACGAAATTGTAAAATTGAAAGTGACAGAAGAAAACTAGACTGCTCTGACATATACATTTTTAGTCACAGGATAATACAGACAGCACAAAAAAACTCTGAAATTATAAAATTGAAAGTACTGGCCCGCAAATCAAACTACTCTGACATATGAATCCTAAATCATTGGATAATACGGACAGATTCATGATATCCTGACAGACACGCAGACAAAGACGGATAATCCCTATATTGTATGACAATACTGATTTTGGCCAGACGAAACGTTACAGAAATACATTTGTGTTAGAGTGCAGCAAAACTCTTGAGTTGCATAATATGATATGTTTATTCCTGCTACAGCATCCTTGCATTATGCTCATACGGATCCACTAGCATATAGGCATTGAGGAAGGATTGGAAGATAATCTCGCGCAACCTCTACTGATAGCAATCTCAAACTATCGAATTTAAATTATCTTACTGATAAGAATTGATTCTTCAAAATGTCGTATATTAAAAACATTTTTCAAATCTTCTATATACCGTAAAAACGATATTTTCTGTCATTATATAAAAAAAACTCTTAAATTATAAAATCGAAAGTACTGGCTAGCAAATCAAACTACTCTGACATATAAATCTTAAATCACGGGATAATACAGACAGATTCATGATATCTTGACTGACATGCGGACAAAGACAGATTATCCTTATATTGTATGACATGTAATCCGGGCGCATATATAGGATTGGATTTTCTTATACGACAGAAAGTACTTTTGAAATTTGAATAAAGTATTTATATCCGATTAGGTTATACGTGAATAATAGAGTAATGCCGGCATACATGAAAACGAAGGTCGCACATAGGTACCTCTAAGGCTGTAGAGCAGGGGTGTGCAACCTTTTTTATTGGCGGGCCAAATACAAGTAACTGGGTGAAGCCGCGGGCCGCACCTTTATTTAATTTAGGCTTTGTGGTAGTTGCAAGCACAAAAATTGCCTATATTTGCTATTGATCTTACGGCATTATTAGGGGTTCTTGCAGAAATAGTAGATTTAAAATGCATAAACTTCTGAAGAAACTGCTATTTAAATTTTTTGTCACACCGACTTCAAACGAATGCAGTGAAAAACACGTTTTTGTAATATAAATCGTGTATTTTGCAACAGAATTTTGCTAGCTTGTTTTGCTAATATGACTGGTATGGGCTTTGCGACGAAAAAGAATAAATACTCGTTTTGCGGGTACACCATTCGAAATTATTATTTCTCCGCGGGCCGCACAACATTTCTTGCGGGCCGCATTTGGCCCGCGGGCCGCAGTTTGCACACCCCTGCTGTAGAGGACCCAGTTTGCTGACAAGACAAGCGTGATGAAAGCAGTCAATCCCGATGTAATAAAAAGTGTTCCCATTTATTTAAAATTAAATAGCAAGTTTTTGGGTTATGTACAGTATCATGTCCGACCGCGTAACATACTCCTAGCGGCTTACAATCTATATACATTATATTGGTCTTCAGCAAGCTAAAGCAACTATATTCTCGACCCATGCGAACCTCTGTGAACTCTGAAAATTATGCAAAAAATTTGAATAAAATTAGGTTTAAACCCCTTCCGTGTACGAGCTTGTCAGGAATTTTAATAGAACATGTGTTCGATTCGCACCTTGTGGTGATTACTTTGCGTTGGTCGTGAAGTTTGCGGTACGTTTTGAATTTTGTGTCCATATATTTGAGAATTCAATAATGAATTGTGCGTGGCAGATACTTCTATTGAACGTTGTTACCTTTGTCGCTGACCAGCTGTCGCGCATGTTTTTCTTTTATAATCAATATTATGTAATCCCATGTGGGAAACAAAATAACGACATTGTTATATAAATGCTACAATAACACGCGTTATTAACACATACTGTTATTACTTTTTGTGATGAACAATCGAAACTTGACGTCATGATCCCTTCCCCGCGAGGCAGAGCATGGCCCGAAAATGCAAGCCGTATAAACACCATTTTCAGTGCCATTTCACACTAATGTCAATTCTAAGTAAACCATATGTCAGAGGGCTATGTGTCAATCTCAACTAATCTAAAACATATTTAGAAAATCCTATCTCCCTATAAATGAAAGCCTTTTATGTAAAGGGGGCACACAAAAGGTGGGAAAATAATCTGACTTCGGACAACCTAATGTAAGATGGGCTATGTCATATCCACATTGTCAAAGCCAACGCTGACTCCCGGACAAGGGGCCACATAACGCAGAGTGAAACATAACGAATAAACAAAAAAAACACGAAGGAGCATTTATCTAAAAATATAGGTAATATTTTGGAATCTTTTGCACAAAGCCCTCGCCAAAAAAGCACCCCCGCTAACGCTCAAAAGAAGGAAATTAGTAAGTTAGTAAGGTGTGTGTTTGGGGCGGGGGGATTTATACAAAAGAGCCTTAATTTGTCATTGTGGCAAATTCATTAGTCTAATTTCTTATATCCTGTTTATTATGGGTTGGGTTAAAATAATAATGAAAAATAAAGATTAGAAAATAAGTAGACATACAGAGGGGGTGTTTCACGGTTTTGCTGGTCGAAACCACCCCCCCCTCCCATTTTGAAATGTAGCAAAAAAATTCTGTATCATATATAGCTAACTCGGACTGTCTAGCTTACGTTCTGACTTGGCAATTAGAAATTCCAGAACATACACCTTGCCCCCCTGAAAATTCTTGGCTATGCCTCTAGCAGGTAGTAACAAGATATTACTAAAATTGTATGAGATTCTACCACCAAAAAATCGTAACTCATACTACGCGTAAAATGATTAAACAATCCCAAACAAAAACAGGAAACGGCGTGAGGTTGTGAGGTTTGCCTTTGCTCAAGCGCTTAATTTATCGACTATTGACAGTAGAACCGCTGATAACAACTTGCATCTCGCACCCAATAAAAGATTTTTGATATCTAGAAATCTGTATGCCATAAGACAGCGGTTCCCAAACTTTTTGTTCGTGCGGCGCCAAATTATCAGAGAAAAACTTCCGACGCTGGAAAAAAAGACGCTACGTAACAGAAAGTAAACGACATTGAAAGGTAAGATGAATTTATTTAATCGTAATATAAACAGCATTTCAAATTGGAAACAATAAGACATTTCAAATATATATATATATGTAAAATATTCAATCATATATTAGTTGCGTTTAACACAATTCTGTTTTCAGGAGCACTAGTGCACGGCGCTTTGGGAACCGCAGTCATAAGGTATTAACTTTTACCGCTGGCTATATGCAACATATTGCTGGAGATATGAAAAAGATTAGTAATTTACTCCTTGAAAATGCGGTACTCTTGAAGTATTTGGAGCAAGATGGCGGACACCGGAACGTAGTATGTGTACCAGGTTAGGGTTAGGCCATAATTTCAGGTTCAAATACTACGGGAGTCAATTGGCTAGTCCCCGAACTCGTAATCGAACTAAAATAAGGAAACTTGAAATAAAACTATGGCCTAACTCTAACCTGGCACACATACTACGTTCCGGTGTCCACCATCTTCGTTCACATACTTTCCGGGTACAGAAAATGCTATACCTAACTTAAATATGCCTAAAATCGCATTACCTAGAAGCATTTATCTTCCTCTTGATATAAACAGGTTCCTAGTACTAATTTTGTATATCTGTATCATGAGACATCACTATTGCATTCCGTCTATACACAACCTGTTTCACTAAAAGTAAAAAGCGATGTTTTGAATGCAAATCCGTTCTAAACCGGGTCCCAAACACCACCGCATCCAATTGATATGCGTTAAAAAAGTTTGTAAAATTTGAAGATTATTTTTCACCAAACGTAATGACGAATAACTATCGCTTCAAGTTTGCAAAACCATAAAAAGAAACACGAAATGACTTTATCAATTTACGCGGAAAAGCAGAAAAAATGTAACGTTTTTTTTAACAGTGAAACGAGACTATTCGAAAACAAGTAAATTATTCAACACCTGCATTAATTATCCAAACTAAATATGTTTTTCTCGTCGAGAGATCGCGTAAACCGGGGATTAATCGGACGACGACAGTACCCTAGTAATAATCACGCTTTGCGTTAGCGCTTAGGGATAGGAACAGATACTCTAGTAGTATGCGAACCAAGATGGCGGACACCGGAACGTAGTATGTGTATCAGGTTAGGGTTAGGCCATAATTTCAGGTACAATTACTACGGGAGTCACCTTGCTAGTACCCGAACTCGTAATAAAACCAAAATAAGGAAAATTGGAATAAAACTATAGCCTAACCCTAACCTGGTACACATACTATGTTCAGGTGTCCGCCATCTTGTTGCACATACTACGGAAGCGCCGAGGAACACCGGTAAGGCGGCCTATTTACATTCGTCGGAGGAGAAATGCGGATAAGGCGGCTAATCACATGGCGAACCACTCCTCTCGTCCATTTACCTTTCCATGGCGCGCATCAAAATAGTCAAACAGTTATTTTTCACAAATGTTCGGACCCAATGGTAGAGTAAGCCATGACATACCAGCAGTTACATAAACCACCCTACGTCCGGGAGGAGCCCATCAATCTCCTCGCATATAAACATCGTCAACGGGTATTCGAATCTGCGAACCTACACAAGGTAATCAGAGGTGCGATGATGGCAAACGTATTCCTTCCTAACGCTCAGCACGATGCGTCATACCGCCGATCCATAACAAGATTGCCCACAAAGTGTGTTATATATCAAGTACTGTCCTATTCTAGCCCCACCACTATCATGGGTAAGGTTAGGACGGGGCGGGCAATAGGCGGCCCGCGGGCCACAAACCGGCCTGCCAACATTTAGTGTGGCCCTCGATAACACCCCTGAATAGGGTTGGGAACCGAACCACCAGGTTAGATTATTGGGTACTCTTGCAGTATGCGCACCAAGATGTCGCACAACCTGAACCCTAAGCTGGTACACAACCTGAGTTCAGGTTGTGCGTCATCTTGGTGCGCATACTTCAGGCGGTCCGATTATTGCTCCACATTCAAACTTAATCCCAAGATAACCATTATCAAGAAAAAGATGGTCAGAAAATCAGTTATGTGGCAATAACAGTACAATACCACAACGTGACACCTCACCAATTGAGAATCAGAGTTGAGAATGCAAAACATACCCGTTAGCAGTAGCACCAATAAGCGGGGTTTTTGAAGTAAAACCCTTCGAATTAGGGACAATCGCTTCTTCGGGAGAACTGCGTTTCATTGGCCTGCTTATGCCCCTGCTATCGATGACAAAATCTTCTTCGGAGACGCTGTCGAGTGTGGAATAAAGACGAGACGAAAGCGGCCTTAGTGTTGGTTGGCTTGAACTTCTTGGTTTAGAATTGAAAGGACGGTAGGGTTGTGTTTCAATCAAGCTTGTGCTTCTTTCCTTTTTCGGAGATCTATCGCCAATGATGTCATAAGCTGGTGACGGCACGCAGCAAGGAGAAGAATCAAAAACGGAATCTGGGAAACGCTCATTTGCGGATCCGTAGTTTACCTTCGGCGTCTCGAAGTGGTTGTTTCGAACTAGAGGAAGTCGTTCGTTAGATGGCGTAGTAGTGCTCAAATTACGATTATTCGTATCGAAAGAGTCAGCAAGTGATTTTCTTCTACTTAATGCGTAATGGTATACACCAGGTGCCTCCTCCGTCATTGGTGACGTCATGGGTGTAATGACGTCACCAAATCCACTGTCGCGCGAAATATCGGGAGAAATACAGTCGTTTTCATCAGGCTTAAATCCCATGTTAGTTACTCCGATTTTATTCCATGGTTCGTCACTGGATGACGTCATTAGGGTATCGCCCCATTCGTCTTTAGGCGGTGACGTCAATAATGACGCAATACTAGATCTCCGAACCTTGGTGGCTTTTTGTCCTCGAGGAGAAGGCACCAAACGTGCTGATTTTAAGTCTTTAGGCGCGGATGTCATCAATGTGGCAACGTTACTTTTTCGAGCCTTGCTGGATTTTTCGTTTCTCGCGGAAGGAATGTATCGAACTGATTGTGGAGTTTCAAACATGGACGCCATTTCAGAGTTGATTCTAATAAATTTTGCTAAGTCGATCATAAGATTGATTGTCAGAAAACCATAGATTAATTTACACTGAAAAGAATATTAAAAAATTCTATGATTACGGGCAAATGAACCAAGACTTGTTCCAGTAATATTATCCAAAAAAGGCCATGGATTATATACAAAGTAAAGATAGAGATTCATGAGTCTTTCTGCACACTAACACAGCCAACAAGTCAATCTCTTTCAATGTTTTTAAGCTGGTATGTAGCAAGAGTGAAGATGGCTAATCTGATTGATTTGAGTTCGTTTCGAACATGGACGCCATTTCATAGTTCATTTTAACAAATTTCGATAAGTCGATAATAAAATTGATTGCTAGAAAACAATAAACTACTTTATACTGAACAAATGTTTAAAATCCAGGCTATTCTGGAAAAACAGGAATCTTTTCTATTTGGAATTTCCTACCTAATCTATTACATTGATTATAGCCTACAAACTACGCGGGATTGCTTATTAACAATATGCCATAACGTAAACTGTATTACATTTTCGTCTTACCAAATCCAGTCAGTCGAGTAACAACACAAATCTATCTACGATATATAAGACCAACGTCTTCGCGTGATAGTTCAATTAAGGACGAATACCTTATCCGTCTCAGTCGTGTATTTAATCAAGAAAACACGTGTAAAACGCCATTTCCGTGTTTGATCGCGAGAAAAGAGGGCGTGCTATGTAAATCGTCGAATAAAAAATCAACATTTGCTTGAAGTAAATACGATTTGCGAAATGAGGTTTCCAGTGGTATTGTCGTTGGTCGCAGGTTTTGTTGTCCACTAATTTTAACCCAAGACGCCTATATGTCAGGAAATGTTGTTTTACGGATATTGACCCTACTAACCCTATACCATGGGTTTAGCACCCTAGTAGGTAAACACTGTGTACGTGCATACGGCACTAAGGTAGTTTAGACGTTGTTAAGTTGTATCTGGATTTCCTTATTTTAGTTCTATTACATGTTTGGGACTGTCTGTGTTAAGCCATGTGATATATATCCATAACCCCCTGTCCATTAGTTTTCGGTCCCTTTAAACAAACTTGATGTAAAGCAAGGCGAACAAAATTAGTTACCTCCATATTGGTACACACACTTCTGGAGCGTTACTAATTCTAACATCGACCAATGTCAAAACTCAAACTCTGGCTTGAAATTAGTTTGACAAGAAATTTTTTGGAGCAGACAGTCGACTCCATATCTCTAGAAATTATTTTCTGTGCGTTTTCACAGATTCCGGGCCGATACGTCGTGTATAGTCATCTGGGATAATTTGCTACCGGATACATACAAATTCCGGCGCAGGTGTGTGTGTACCAATATTAAGGTAACTAATTTTGTTCGCCTGCTTTACATCAAGTTGTGTAAAGGGACTGAAACCTATGGACAGGGGGTATGGTATATTCACTTGGCTAACACAGACAGTCCCCAAACTCGTAATAGAGCTAAAATAAGGAAAATCGGAATAAAATTATTGCCTAAACCTAAGCTGGTACACACACTAATGTAGTACCCAAATTCCTTATTCGATCAATTTCGATTATTCCAACCAAACCTTCTAAAGAGAAACGGATTTACTACTTAAAATATTCGAAGTACATAGCACACTTTTATTCATAGTCAAAAATAAATTCTTTTTTTTTGCTTCACGTTTTGAGAAAGCTTTCACATAAATTGTCCCATCAATAATGCATTGAATAAAAGTAAGTTCATCGAAGGCGTGAAATAAGTTGGATCTGGGTTGCTTCGATAGCATAATTTATCCAAACAATTTGCTTAGCAAACATAGATATGACGTCAAAAAATCATGACGTCACAACATTTAAAAAAAATGCAATTATGAAAAGCTTTTATTCAGGCAATTTTCTTACCAAACATGACGTCATGAAATCAAGACGTCACAAATGTGTGAGAAAAAAAATTTTTGCAAATCTTTTAAACAGACTTAACGTGAATGTTTATCTCTGAAATCTGACCTTGGGAAATACTGATATGACCTTCAAAAGAAAGCAATTTATTTATGCGATAGAGTTTCAAATTATCGACTGGCATTAATTATTAACGAATTAAAGTAAAGTATAGTCTTGTATGGTCCGTGCGATAGAATCCGTTAAATATGATCTTATCATACTTGGCCCAAAGAAGGCAGATTAGAAAGATACTGCGTTGCTTGCACGGTATCAAAATTGGCTTTGAAGGTATTTTCTTCAAGTTTGGGGTAAACCTCATAATTGGCGATTTGGCCCGTTCTCAATTCCTATTTGTATATGACGCTTTTACGCCATTCGCTCCGAACAAAGTCATGTACTAATTGCCACTGATAGCTTATGATATGAACGCTTTGTATAAATGATATTCGATTGAATGGTAACACAAAAAGGTGAAAGGCTACAATATTGGTTCCAGACCTTTTTTGATAAATTACTTCCTTTTTAGATTTTTTAATTTCTCTCCCGCTACGAATAAACACTGTGCGTGTGCGAGCGGTTGCCCAACTCTGCCTGACCCATAGGCGTAGCCAGTGTCCAAGATTTTTTTTGTTATTCAACCAGTTTTGTCTGATCCAGTAATTAAAGAAAAAGGGAATTTTTTGGTAACAATAAGAAGAAAATTACCAACAAGAACAACAACATAATAACAAAAAAAACGATCCATGAATTAGCCTACCTCGTGTCCAATAATGACAATACTAAGTAGCCGGTGTCGCACTCTGATTTTTGTACAGTTTGAGCGGTTTACAATGTGCGCGTATATATATATTACTGTGAAACTAAATAACTATACAATATTAGAGGAAATACAACAAAAAAAAGTAGAATTGTCTCCCCCAAAACACCAAAATTGGGCAGTGAGAAACTTGAAACGTTTCAACTCAGTACTGTTGAGAAATGAATGAAAATACGAAATACTTGTGTTTGACTTTCTTGGCTGGTATACAATACACAAAACTAACAAACTATTACGCCATTCGGCTTTCGCTCAGGGTATTTTGAAATTCAAATATTTTTTTGGGTTGAATAACAGGCTCGAAATATTCCACCTCAATACTGTTAGAGAATTTATAGAAATACGAAACACATGTGTGCGACTTTCAAGCTAATCGGCTTTTAACGTTTAGAATTACAAAATCGAGTTTTTTTTTATTGATTTTCCTCAAATTCACCGCATATCAGAGATAAAATAATGTCAAAGAAAGTGTTTTTTCAGAGAGTTGGCGAAACTACATCTTAGTGATCCCTAATTCGTTCCGTCAATCCCTGAGTCTTGATTAAAAAGCGAGGAGATATCGACTTGCGGAAATTTATTGTTATACTGTCATCACTATCGGGGCCACAAACAAATATAGGATGCGAGACTTGAAACATCCCAACTCAATACTGTTACTGGAGAATAGACTGAAAATTTTCTCGCCATATTATTTTGGCTGATGCAAAGAACGAAAGATTCACGGAAATAAAATAGTCAATATCAGACTTGAAATATTAAAACACAATACTGTCAGGAAAATATACTGAGATAATTTCATACACCTCCTTGACTGGTATAAAATACACACAACTGAAAAACTATTACGATAATCGGCTTTCGCTCGCGGGATTTTGAAATTCGAGTATTTTCATAGGTTTAATAAAAATCACTTTACAGAGATAAAATACGGGACTTAAAATTTTTCCATTTCAATACCGTTAAGAAATGAAAAGAAATACGAAGTACTTATGTGCGACTTTCACGCTAATCGGCTTTTAACCTTTGGAAATACAAAATCGAGGTCTTTTTTTATTGATTTTCCTCAAATTCATCGCGTATCAAAGATAAAATAATGTCAAAGAAAGTGTTTCTCCAGAGAATTGACGAAACTACACCTCACTGATCCCTAATTCGTTCCGTTAATCTTTGAATCATGATTTAAAAGTAAGACGGAAAAATCGATTTTTTAATCACTGGTGTTGTCACTGGCGGAATGCAACCTGTGACCCACGGGCCAAATGCGGCCCGCAACGAAAAATTGCGTGGCCCGCTGAGAAGTGCTAATTTTGAATGGTATGCGGTCCGCTAAACGAGTTTTTACTTTAGTTTAATCTGGAACCTATGAGTCATGCCAATCCCTTCGCGTTGCAAAGCCAATACCTGAATTCAATTTATGCCTATGACGTTACAATGCCCGAACAACTAGCTTGAGCGAAGCGAACAACACATGTCATGAGATTAATAACCACAATGTTTGTGCCTGCAACTACTAGAAAACCCATGTTGAAATGGGTGCGGCCCGCGGTTTCACCATGGTATTTGTATCTGACCCTCTTTTATTAAAGGTTGCACAACCCTGAGTTAAAGTATTAGATTCCCAACGAAAGTAAGGATGGGGGGGGGGGGGATCGGGGGGGTGATAATTAATTCCACACGTTTTCTTTCACGACACTCATTCACAACTTTCGCTCCGAACAGGCCCAACATAAGAAGCCATTGGTATCTAACGATTATTTGTATTTGCTATTATTTGGAAGGGCCGGGAGTTTTCGGTTCGTTATTGTCTGTCCACTTTATGACACCCTGCTGCGTGAGGTGGTGTATGTGCATGGGAATTAAATCTGAGATGTGTAATCAGACTCGATCAGACTCAACCAACAATGACATGAGACCTAATGAGCTTTATTTGGACAATTACAGAAAAAAAAGTAAAATCAATTGAATTTTAATGTTATACAATTCCACTAAAACGATTTATTTATACTGAAACGATTATTTAAATAAGTGAACGAATACCTCAAGGAGCCCCGGGACTTTATATGGAGCACTTTGAAAACCTAAGAACTAGGCGACGTGGCCTTCTACAAATTCCGAAGTAAAGCAAAGAAAACTCATTTGTGAATAAGATAAAGTCTATCACTGTATAAGATTAATCAAAACTGGAATCGCAATATCATTCAAAAGTTCCTCGACCGAAATTAAACTCCCGCATTAGAATCGGAAACGCGCAGAACGCGCATCTCAGGAAGCGATCATATTCCATTTAAATGCAGTTATTACAG